TGCAGTAGCGTTTTGGCCTTTTACCGTAATGGAAGCTCAGGTAGGCAAAGTGCTGAGTCTACCGAGAGTCTTGGCTGGCCTGTTCTACAACTTTGGCTCAACAGCATTGAGTCGTTCGTGCCAAGCTGGGCTATAGAAATGCTAAGGGGATGGGCAGACATTGAAAAGACTCATTGAGCAAAATCTTTAGCTCTTGGGCTTCAGTGAAGATCCTTGTACATATCTCTTGGTGAAATTCCAGTTCTGCCCAAGATGTACCTTGAATGTCCCCCCCCCCTCTCCACCAGTATCGGATTTGCTCCTTTAGTTGAGCAGAAAGCTTATGAAAAAGTGATGATGAATGATGATGAAAAAAACGATTTTTATTAAGAAAATGATGATGGAAAAGTTATTTTCAGTAATGGTGGTTTGGAACCACCCAAGAAGGAACCGCTGTAGCTAGTACTTAGGTGGTGCTGCAAAAGGTCATCAGTACATTCCGTTAAGGTACTGCCACCATACATTTTGTAGGTGTAATCTGGTGGATTATGAGGCATGAAAAATTCATACTTATGCAGTTTCGTATATTTTTAAGTGTTTTTGAATAGCTCACAAAGCTTTGATGCTGCTAAGGAAGCGAGTTTCGATGTCTCGTTGAAAATAAGACGATTAATGTCCCATGTGTACAGCTCAGGTGACGCAACGAATACCTGAAAGGCACTCGAATCGGCGGCCGATCGCTAAAGCGTCCGAGAATAGACCAGCCAGTCCTGAGAAAAGCCGGCATCAACTTGAAAAGCTGTAAATTTTCCTGTTCCTCAGTCGTGCCCACCACGGTGCCTCAAGCAATGATGGAAAAATAATTATAGGAGGCTGCTACTCGTATCCCAGATGTACATACGTATTAGGCAAGGAGTGCTGAATGGGGCACTAGCGCGTTATGATGTAGTTTTGCGTGAAATCATTACTATAGGCAAGATGTAATTAGGCTCCATCCTCTCATATGAAGGAGACGCCCCGATGATGTCCAGACATGATTGCCTATGGATGCATGCTGTCCACTCGACCGTTTCCTTGAGGAAATGAAAGGGAACCTCTAGAGGAATGTGGTAGAGAGTAGTATGCAGCTAACCGATATAAAAAAATCCCAACAAACTATTCGTAAAATTAATTTCTACTAATGAAAATAGTTATAGTAGTAGAAATTATGAGCTTTCAAAGACAATCTGCGATTGCATGTTGTGGCATTTAATTACAAACGTGTCGCGAAAAAACTGTCCAGGAAGAAAAATCGTGGGAAATTGTCTAAGTAAGGACCTGGCAGCCTCTCTAGACGAGTATTCCGCACCTGCTCTTTCTATGCCAGCAAGGCGAAGCCTGCTGCCTCTAACCTACTGATGGCTTCTATCTATTTCCACTTCAGCTTCGGTTTAATCTAATGCTAATACCATCTAACAGTTAAAAAAGGAAAAACGAAATGTACAAACTGAACGTGATAGAAAATAGCTTTTGTCTTCGGTAGGTGGGACAACTAGGAGGGCGTCAGAATTGGGACTCATGAAGGCCGCAGCGCGTTGTTATTTTCCGTGAAGCCGCGAAAGTGACTCGCGAACCTTACGGACTGCAGAGCAGACTTCTTGAACAAGAAAAGACGCTTACGAATCGGATGAGATAGCGACTGCCCTCAGAGGAACTGCTTCCACTGGTCATAGTGATGTGGTCACCAACTTTATTGGTACGGATCGTTCTGCCGACCACTCTATAGACTCTACACTGGAGCAAGAGTTTGAAAGGATACAAGGAGAAACTCTTTGCCGTTATTCAATTCCTTTTTGGGATGCGTCACTTGTTAGAAGCCTAGCGGCTTGTTGGATGCGATACGGTCTATACAATGACATTCAAGGCCGTCGATGCACTGTCAGTGTTCTTATCCTCACAGACGGATGTGGTACCGATTTACCGTCACTGGAAGGGAAAGGTACGGGAGGCTTGGTCGAGAACAGATCCAAGATCGATCCCGCGACCGCGTGCGTGGTAAGCGTCTTACTTTACATCATCTCGATCTCGAGGGTACTGTTAGCCTTCAAAAATGAGACCTATACTATTTCAGCCATCTGTTAGTCTGTGCAAGATTATTTTTTACCACAAAAGAATTAGTAGTGTTATGCTTGTTGGGACGGTTAATATG